TGGCTTCAGGCTATGCAGGCTACAGCGTCTGCGGTTTGGCTGGAGGGTAAAGGGATGGCTTTGAATATTGATAGTCAGAGGTGCGATTGGGGGTGGGAAACCAGTACTCACCTGTGGCTCCACTGCCCATTTTCAGAGGAGCCTTGGAGATGGTGGCGAGGCCACTGGCAGAATATAGTGGGTTCTGAATGGGAGTGGACGGATGATTGGATTCTGCATGCGATCCCACCCCAAAAGTCAAATTTTATGACAGGAACTGGTTATGTAGCCTTTGTCTGTAGGGGCGCGCTCATGTGCATAATTTGGAAAGCTCGAAATGCTAGAGTTTTTAGAAGTGAAAAAATGCTGTTGCAGCAACAGATAACTCTGGTGAAGGAACATATCCGCCTGGCCATCCTTTCAGATTGGAGGGTTTCTAGGAGCAGGAGGGGACGAATTTCAAGATTTCACCAAACTTGGGCAAAAGGAAAGATTTGGGCTTCAGTCCCGCCAGAGGGACATTTGGAAGTTTCAAAATGGTTACATCCAGGCAGTAAAGTATCGTGACTGAGCTTTGTAGTTTCTACCGGCCAGTGATTGGTCGCTGGTTAGACCAATGGAATAAAATGAGCATTTTGTCAGAAGTTCGAAGATTTGGCCGAGAGCTGGGTGCTTTCTGTTAAGAGGTATTAGTTTTGCTCTCTGTTGCCATTTTTTAATAGTGCTTTCACGAGTATTCTGCGAAGATGGTTTCAAGACTGGATAGGAGTAGTCAAGGGACGCTGGACCCGGTTTCCAGCTGTTACTTCCTTGTCTTCTCCGGGTTGAATTGTGAGGTCCCCGGCCTCGATTACAGTCGTTGATTGGCAATAAACGGTGACATCTTCTTGGGAAAAAAAATAAAATAAAATAAAAAATGGAAAAACAAACTGGGGGGGGGGGGGGTTGGCAGGAAGTTACCTGCTTTGCACTGTGTAGTTCAGGCAGCAGAGCACGTGTCTTGCAGCAAATCAACCAGCACATTTAAACCACCAGTACTTGGCCCATACATCGGCCGCCGGCCCTTAGCGTTAACGCTACGCGTTTCCCGCGTTTCCCACGCCTCGGCAAAGGCTTGGCATGGCCATGGGGGAGGGAGCTGGTGGCCCCATGGAAACAGGGCAAAAGGACTGCACGATGTCCTGGTGGTGTGCTATCTGGAAGCGCGGACAGTGGTAGCAAGGAGGCAAAAAGAACAAAAATGAAAACGGACGAGGAAAAAATAAAGATAGATGGTTGCTTTCCTTTCTTTTCTTTTTTTTTGGGGGGGGGGGGGGAAGAATGTATCTGGCTTCACTTCTGCACGGCGGTATATGAATCTTAGGGCAATCACGTTCAGATGCTGGTTTCCCGTTTCCCCCTTCTCGTGTTTTTTTTTTCTTTTTTTTGGTAATCAGACCGTTGGCTGTTTCTGCACTTGCTCCCCGTGAGAGACGGGGAGCATTCAATGCCTCAGGTCCCAGAGGCAGTGTGACGTTGCAACTTCGACGCATGTATCTGGCTTCACTGCTGCAGGGCGTTCACGTTTCTCTCTTTTTTTTTTTTTGGCTTTTTTTTTTGGGAAGAAGATTGAATGCGTGAGTGGAAACAAGAAAACGTTGAGTCCGATACGGAGGAGCACTGGATTTTACTGGCGGAACAGATTCTGGTTGACGAGTGGAAACTCCCCCGGTACAGAGATGTGTGGACATGTTGCATGATGGACTCCTACCTCCGCAGACATGTCAAATCCGGATTTTGGAGGGGAGTCCTGAAGGCTTGGAGCAAGGTGAAGCCTCGACTGTGGGTGCCGCCTGTAACAAAACAGGAGGTATTAGCTCAGCCTTTGTTTGATAATCCATCCATCTGCACCGCAAACGGCCGGCCGTTTTCTGCAGGAAGTTCCACGCATGATTTCGGGAGACTATGGGCCGAAAGATCAAGATAGCTGATCTCTGGGACGAGCTGACAGGACAATGGATCTCGGATGGAACTCTCAAGGGGGAACTCGGTAGACTGGGGAACATCGAATCCAGGTTTGAACAGTTGCGTCTGGCCATTCCAGCAGACTGGTGTTTTCTCCTCAGCCCCCAAGTAGTGGACCCGCCAGGAACCTGGTTCGTTGAGGATCGGGAGGAATCTCCTACTGTTTTCTGGAAATTGCTTACGATCGATGATCAAGGTTCTAGGAAGTTTCAAGCATGGGAAAGAAGAGATAAACAGATTCAACTGACACTCCGAGACAACTCTCCGGGCAGTTCCTTAGAAGACCGGTCACCAATGCTGGCTCAAGCCCTCTCTCCTCTTGGGAACCTCTCTCAAATCCGAGTCAAGGAAGCCTGTGCCGAAGATGGTACTCACTTGTGCATCCTCTGGAAGAACGGCACTCCTATCAAGACCCTCAAGTTGGATCCCAGGCTGTGGACCTGGAGGGGGTCCAGGCGTATTTCCGAGGAAGCATGGCTGACAGACTACACGGTGCCAGCAGGATACGAACTCCAGCAGACAGCGAAGACCCCAAGTGCGGTAGCTGTCCTCAGGTGGTCGCGAGTCACCACATATGACACAGATGAAATCGCTCACGACATCACTCGTTGTTGGGAGCAACTGCAGTACACTCCGGTGCCAAGAGCGGCCGCATTATTGTGGCTTCTCTCGTTACTAGTTACCCCCTCGGCTGTGTGGCTAGTACAGAGAGGGATGACAGTTCAGTTACAGTGTGGGAGGTGCAGGTGGCCATTCGAATCAACGACACATCTATGGCTGTCCTGCCCCCTCTCCAAGAGAATATGGGATTGGTGGAGATCACACTGGGACAGAATCAGTGGTCCAATATTCCCATGGGACGATAAATGGATTCTCCTCGGGGGAGTCCCGGACGAGCTCCAGTTGCACAGAGGCTGGGGCTATGTTGCCCAGGCCCTGAGAGCCTCGCTGTTCTCAGTGATCTGGGAAGTCAGAAACAAAAAGGTGTTCGAAGGAAGATTCATCTCCGACCCCGCCATCAAGGCTTCAGTCAAAACACACATCAGGCGCGCAATCAAGGGTGACTGGAGAAGAAAGGTCGRCGGTACAGCACGGGTAGCCTCAGGKGTGGAATGGTTCAGRACTACCTGGGCTGAAGGAGGCAATTTGGTRAAAATGGAGGGCAGCTCTTTCAAGCTCGACCCGTGGCTGCTAGACGGAGTTTAACAACCTAGATGCTCGGTTTTCGTTCCGCGAGTAGGAAGGCAGTAGAATGAGGGACGTGGGGTTTTGGAGTGAGCATCTCCGGGTCACTGGAACCTTTATAGGTTCCTCCCCTCCGACATAGGAGGGTAGCAAACAGTCGGTTGGCCGGTAGGCTAGGCATTAGTCTGGTCTATGTTTGGTCTTTTGTCTATCAGGGGGTTGGTCCCCTGCAGGGCTCTCCCCTGTAAGCGAAACTGGGTAACGCTCCCAGATGGTTCCCTGGGTAGACTGTGAGGACCCCGGCCTCAGAAATTTCGGCTTTTGCAATGAATGTTGGATTTCGGGAAAAAAAAGAAAAGAAAAGAAAAAAAAAAAAAAAGAAACAAGAAAACGACGGCCTGTTTACGTTCCATCCTCGGCAAAAATTGGCGCGCAGGGCATATTCAGGCTCGGCTTCAATAGCTGGGCCAAGTACTGGTGGTTTAAAAATCGGAACGATACAGAGAAGATTAGCATGGCCCCTGCGCAAGGATGAAACGCATAAATCGAGAAATGGTCAAAATTAACAACAACCCAAAAAAAAAAAAAAAAAAAAAAAAAAAAAAAAAAAGCTCATTCCCTTGCGTTGTAATGGGACGCTGGACCCAGTTCTTAGCAGATGCAGCTCCGCACCAATAGAATAGAGCCATTACTCTTGCAAAAAATAACAAAACGGAATAGTTCTATTCTGTTCATCTGATCGCATCTGGATTCGAACTAGGGTTTAAATTTCAATAGTTCATGGGCACATCTGGATTCGAACTAGGGTTCTGAGGTAGGCCGGTAAGTAACGAGTGTCTCTCATCCTGCGAATGGAGGGAGATCCTCGCTATGACCACAATCAATAGGGCAAGCGACAGCAGATTGGGCAGGGATAAGGACGGTATGGGAGAGGTGTCGGAGGGTATTTCGGACATGTTAAGTCACAAGTAAAAATGCAGCCATGGCCATGGCGTCCCTCCACCGGATCTTCCACAATCTGCTGCTGGCTGATGTTGTAGTTTTGAATTTGAATGTTGTGGTACACTGTCTGCAGAGAAAAGAGCACAAGCGAACGATGACGAGTTGCACAGTTCGACCTTCGTAGGAGTGCTTAGATCTCCAGCACATCCACAGGTTAGGGATGTCACCGACGGAAGTCGATCAACCCGCCAGGTATACCTCAGGTCTCCACTCGCTTACACTTGTTGTCCCGTCCCTTCCCTAGTCTCTCCACAGTCTGACACCCAGCCCCCTGCAATGCAGACCCTCGCTTATCTACCTCTGCTGGCCTCCTAACAGCCATTCCCTATCGTCGCCCTACCTGTAACCCCCCAATGCCTACCCACCCTCCCCTGCTATTTCCCCTCCCCTGGACCCACTCTCCCCACCATTCAAGAATCCGACCCCACGAAGAAAGAGAAAGACGGCGGTGCTATTTGGTCAAGGTCATGGGGCAACTGCCCTCTCTCTCTCTCTCTCTCTCTCTCTCTCTCTCTCTCTCTCTCTCTCTCTCTCTCTCTCACACACACACACACACACACACACACACACACACACACACACACAAACACACACACAAAAAAAAAAAAAAAAGCACACACAGACAAAATGAATGGCGCGGGCAATACATACACCGTCCTCACACCAATGTCATAACCAATTCTTGCGCTCGACGGCAAAGCGGCCACGTGCGGAACGGGGAGCGAGACAGAGAGACGCAGTTACGGGATTAAACAACACCGGAGAAAAGCAATGCCTACAAACACGAGCGCGCGGGCAGACAGACCCACACAACACCACCCACGCACATTTCTCCAGTAGCTCGTTGATTGAACACAGCAACACACAAACACAAAAGCCGAATTAGGGTAGAGAAAGCCGGAGAAGACAAGGTGTCCACCTGGCAGTTAGGGAAGGCGGGCTTGTAAATGAAGTTGAGAGAAAGGACGCGAAGGGACATCACATGCGCTCATACACGTGCACGTTCGCTGGCGCGGGCAGTACATGCGCCGTTTTCAAACCGATGCCATAGTCATTCTTGCGCTACGGCAAAGCGGCCACGTGCGGAACGGGGAGCGAGACGGAGAGACGGAGTTACGAGATAACAGAAAACACCACAGAAAAGCCATGTCCCCCACACGCGCACGCACAGAAACACGGACACAACACCACGCAAAAAAAAAAAAAAAAAAAAAACCTTTCGGCTCGGGAATTCGCTTAAATGCTTGCACTACATCACATCTTTCATGACGAAGAATACACGACCAAGCCCAAGCGGTATACCTCAGAACGAACAAGACACCAGTTTTCGCTCATTCCAGGCGTGGCAATAGTCACGGCCGAAGCACTTGCTCTTCTAGATCGCATCCGATTCTTACAGTCAGCAAGACTACTCACACCTGTTCAACTGAGTTTAGCTCCAACAGACTAGCCTATTAGGGTCAGGAAATTCCTAATATGAAATTCTTAATATGAATACAGGCTCGACGAATCAACTCACTGGTTACTTCCTTGACGAGGCACCTACAATACAAACACCTCAACAAACTAGCGATGGTCGAACCTGTCGCTCCAAGCCCGGATGCGAAGGCGTTTTCCTTGCACAGAAGCACCTGGCAGCGTCAAGGACGCACCTAAGATGGAATCCGACCGATCAGATAGGAAGACATAACTTGACCTTTCATCTAATAGTAATAAGAGCCGCCATGCCCAGAAACTAACCACCAGCACTTCCACGGCCGCACCAGACTCACTAGAAACCCAGCTGCCTATCCTCTCCCACCCGACCGTCGATCCGAGAACTACACAAGTTGTGAAGAATCGAAAAAAAATAATTTGCACTGCATAAAGGAGAACATGATAGCGCGAAATAAATGCCATTGATAATGCCGACCAGTAGGGTCAGCATTATCTCGTAGGCGCGCAATCTGGGAGCCTCAGAGTCTCATTTGGGGCAGCGGCGGCAGTTGCCATACTCGATTGCGCTGCTCGGCGCATCGACCTTGGTCCCAGATGGCGCCTTGGCGCAAAAGCTCCAAGACTTCACAGTGTCCTGTACAACTATGTGCAAGTTGTTCGTGGAGCTGTCTGCCGCTCTGTTGCCTGAGAAGGTGTTTCCTTTGCAGAGAACACCGTATCCTCCCTCGTCGTCGGAGTAGAAACGCAGGGCGCCGCCCGTTCCATTCACCACATTGTTGCGGAAGCTGTTCCTGGAAATGTAGCAGCCGGACCTCGAACACGACACCGCTCCGCCGACATCTCCGTCCGCCTGGTTGCCTTGGAACGCACACTTGTCGATGGTTGCAAACGAACCAATCAATGCCACGGCTCCGCCTCTGTCCTTGGCATAGTTGTTGGTGAACGTGCTGCCAGTCAGCTTGCCGCTGCTCTCGCCCAAAGCGTAGAGAGCACCTCCGGTTTGCGATGCCCGGTTAGCTATGAACTGGCAGTTGGTGATTCTCCACGTGTTGGAGTAGAAATTAATGGCGCCTCCATCCCCGCTGTCACCCGAGCCAAACGCCCTGTTGTTGCGGAACACACAGTTCTCGAACTTGTTGTTGTCGCCGAAGGAGAGAATAGCAGCGCCGCCGCGGAACCTCGTCGTGACCAGGTTCCTGAACTCCAGGTTCCTGACCGACAGCACGTAGTCGGTAACAATGCCGCTGTACTTGTTTTGGCCGTCGATCACGGGACGCTTTTTTCCCACGCCGACGATGGTGACGTTGCGACTCAGCTCCGGCAGGTTCGAAGTCAGATAGACGTCTCCTTTAACCTCGATGCGTGACACTTTGGGATTCTTGTAGTCCGCCAGAAACTCTTTGACGCCATAGCCAGAAGCTTCCGGAAGCACCGACAAGGCCAGAACCACCACCGTCACCGCCAGCGCCAGTGCTCTACACATTTGGACAGGTACGGCCGCCATCGCCAGACAATCAAGTGGCCGTCCGCGCTCGCAGTAATGCGTACGAAGAGGAACTCACTGAAAAACGTGAGGCAGAGTGAAGATGCGAGATCAATCGATGTCAACGACGCTGCTGGAGCAAACCACGGGTTTATAGTAAACACCGAAACATGTCGCCAGTGTGTCCTATCGTCCGAGTCGACCGACTGTCGCGCTAAGAAGTCCACTTCACAGGAGGACTCCTCTGGAGTCTGGATGGGCTTCTCACGAGGACTCCTCTGGAGTCTGGATGTATCTGGCCTCAACAATCCTCTCTCTGGATGTATTCGGCCTGTGTTTTGGCACGCGTCTTCCCGGCCTCTTTTGAATCAAAACATGCAGATCCCGCTCCCCCCGGCGCCAGAGGAAAAACCACCACGTCCGGCGCAGTGACTGGCCGGCCCATCGAAGAAGCTCGGTCCTGATGCTACAGGCTGACCCCTGGCCGGTATCGCCCACCTGCTGTAGCAGGTATCGGACCTGCTGGTGGGTGCAGCTCCCGCATGTTCCCTCGTTGGATGCTTGAGGTTGGGAATTAGCCTTTTTTTTCAATAAAACAAAAAACAAAAACAAATTTCGGCCGCGCTCCCAACCGAGGGCCTCGCCACGCCAGTAACGAAGCGAAAAGCAACCCGAGCGCACCTTTGGGCAGACGATGGATGTTTTTTCCCAACTTGTGAGGGAAGGTTCACTTGCACTGTTCGCGTTTCGCGAGTGGCACATGGCACGGCCATGTCCATCGTCATTGAAAACCTAGAAGTTCGAAGTTTAACGAACCAATGCCTGAAGGTCGAAGAGGAAGAGGCAGAGGCAGAGGTGGGAGAGGAAGGGGCGGCAGAGGAAGAGGCCCCGGAAGTAACTACAGTAATCAGGCAAGAGGAGGCAGGGGAGGTAGAGGACAGCAGGCGAGCGGTAACCCCCCCCCTGCATCCCTTCCAATGGTGGTATATGGCTCATCGGCCCCACCACCTCCCCCACCAATTCCAGGACAGAGGTCGGATCCGACGTCCTCCGCATCACAGGGAATGACGATTAGCAGTGGAGCGATTAGCAGTGGAGGCATGAGCTATGGATCAGGACTAGGAATACAGGGTCAGCAAGGAAGCAATAATCCGTTGCTCCATCCCCATCCCATAAGACCAGTAGCTAGAGGGATGGGAATGGGACAAGTCTCGTCAGCACCCCCAATGTGGTCTAATCACCCAACAGTTCGAAGCCAGTGGGGAAGGGGACAAGGGGTCCAGGAAGCAAATCAATTATCAGCTCAGCCCCAAGCTATCTGGACTGGAGGCCAGACCCTGTTGCCTAGTTACCCATGGGCGAATCCAACACCTGCACAGGCGGGTCATCAGAACCCAACAGGCATGATGGGACCACAGGGTCTTCCAGGGGCTTCAGGCTTCGGACAAGTACAAGGAACCAGCCAAACTCAACAGAGACCGATTGGGATCTGTCAGGAAACACGCTTTCTGATGCCACCATCTGATGCGTTGGTAAGGCCGCTGACAACTTCACCTGTCATGGGGGGAGATAGTTACTCCCTGCAGGCTTCCCGGAGCCAAGATGGGAATCTCACACCCAGTTTGGAAATCCAGGGACACAGAGAAGTACCGGGACGTGATCTTAGCATGGATGCCAATCTGCAGGTTGAGGAACGAGGAAGGCCACAAAGCCCAGATGTAAAAGGGGGTGGAGCAATGCAGGACACAAATTCGATTCCAGTGAGATACACGGAACAATCTTTCACCACAATCCAAATTAACTCTGAATTTGAAATCCAGAACCAGAACGAACAAAGACTGGCATTGGAACTAGTGGGAGTGTATCAAGAGGGGGGTAATGAACAGGGAAATCAGAGATTGATGGCAGGTGCAGCCAGGGAAGAGGTATCTATACCGCAAATAGTGGAGAGACCCCCACACATTGACCACATCATGAGGGATCCGGGAAATCGGATATCCCTCCAAGCACCAGTGAAAATGAGAAGGGTAGGGGAGGAAGGACTAAGTGAAACAACGAAGGAGGTGGAAGAAAGAGAAGTGGAATTTTACTGTGTCCAACCCCCGAACGCACAAATGACCAGTACAAGTGAACGTATACTGAGTAGAGAACCGAGGCTTGGTGAGGCAGGACCGTCAGGGACAGCAAATAATGCAGGGACAACGGAATCAAAGAATGTGGTTCACTTTCTTCTTCCACTATGTATCTCGCTAGCCCCCCAAGAGGTGAAGGTTCTGGCACTCAAAACAGAGTCCGGTACCCTCACGCTTCCCACAGTACCAGTGAGTACAGTCCCCTCTACGAAAGAGGCATTTCGAACAGTGACTCAGGAATTTGTTGCAAACTGCTTCCTGTTCAGACTGATACCGGGAATCAGGACTGGCAGGAGATCTCTCACTCAGCCAGATGGGCCCCAATTATGCTTTCACATAGTGTTGGTGGATGCTAAAATCACGTCGGAGATTGCTGCACTTTTGGCAAACCAAGGGATCCTGTGGATCCCCCCAACATGGTTCGATATTCTTGCTTCAAAAGAGGCTGAGAACCTGTGGGTCATGAACCAAATCAACGCACGTTTCGCGGCTGAGTTCTGTTCCACCTTGCCAACAGATAAACAGCCATGGGCTTCGGGGTTCAGGAATCTACTGTTAGCACCATGGGAAGTCGGGACAGAAACCGAAGGACAAGGACAAAACAGAAAGAAGAAGGGAAACAGTAGAGGACAGGCCGAAGCTCTGCGGATCCAAACCAGTGCCGCCCACTCACCAGCCAATGACAGATAAGCTTCATATAGTAACATGGAACGTTAGGGGGATGGGAGATACCTTGCGGACGTTTAAACGGGGTCGGCTAAAAACTTGGATCCACAGACAGCGCGCTCACTTGATCCTCCTGCAGGAAACTAAACTGGACGAACCAAAACTCGCTCAGATGGCACGATGGTGGTCAGGTCCTCAGTTCTGGGCTCCCGCTAATGGTACGAGGGGTGGGACTGCGATCCTAATTCACCGGGATGTAGAACTGACTGTACTGGAAAGTAAATCAGACATTTGGGGGCAATGGGTGTGGGTAAGATTCCCAATGCAGGAGCAAGAATGGGTTGTGATGTCTGTGTATGCGCCTGCAGTCCCGGGGGAAAGGAAATCCTTCTTCTCAGAGCTTCAATTTATTGTGCCAGATGCTCAGAACCTGGTAGTTGGAGGTGACTTCAACACGGTACTGCACCCGGTGCTGGACTCGCCGAACAGGGAGGAGAGGAAGACTGATGCAAGGTTGTTGCTGCAATTCATGGAGCAAAGAGAGCTTACAGACACTTACAGACAAATCTACCTAGAAGATGCAGGTTTTACGTGGTTCTCCAACCAACGAACGGACAATACACCGATGGCCAGACGCAGGCTGGATCTGATTCTGGCCAAAGGTACGGCCTGGGAAGCAACGACCGAAGTCCAAGTGGGCTCAGATTTTTCCTCATATCATAAACCTGTCTCTGCATTTCTCAGGATTGGAAGAGACTTGAAGACCGAGTCAGGTTTTTTCCGACTAAATACCGAGAACCTGAAAAACCCAGCGGTGCTGGACTGGTGTAAAAGGCATTGGGAGGAATGGACAAAGACGAGAGAATGGTTTGCGTCAGAGGAAGATTGGGTACAGTTGGGATTCCGTATGGTTACAAGAGCGTTAGATGCTTTCTCCAGGATTCTGGCCAAGGAAAGGAACAAAGCGGAGCAGGAATGTGTGGACCAGATCGAGGAAGCGGAGGAGCAGATGGGGAGGGACCCTCTGACGGACATTTACTGGGAAAGAAGAAGAGTCAGCGGAGTGAAAAAGTTGGAAGCTATTCAGATTGAGCAACAAGAGGCCTGGGCCAAGAGAGCAAGAGAGAGGGGTATGACGCAGGTGGACCGGATGACAAAGGAAACTTTTCGTAGACTTTGTCCTCCCCGCACTCACAACCAAATTAGAGCTCTTCAGCACCCCTTTAATGCGCAAGCAGATCTAGCAGTGACAACAGAAGTCATGTCCCAGTATGCGGCCGAGTACTACTCCGATATTCTTACGTCAAGAAGACCCCCAGTGGACACCTTGGCGGAAATGCGGTGCCAAGGCAACCTTTGGCAACATACGACAGAGAAGTTGTCACACCAGCAAAGGCTGAGCCTCGACAGGCCATTCTCACTGGCGGAACTCAGGGAAGCAGTCAAGCAGATGGCGAGGGGGAAGTCCCCAGGGGATGACGGGCTACCGGTTGAATTTTTCGAGGCCACGTGGGAGCAGGTGGGCCCTATCCTACTAAAACTGTTCAATGGAGTCTTAGAAGGCGGCAGATTGACGGAAGACATGTGCAGGGGAGTCATAACCTTGCTATATAAGAAGGGAGATAAACTCAAAGTCCGTAATTGGCGGTCTATCTCTCTATTAAATGTCGCCTATAAGATCTTGGCAAAGGCGTTGTCGAGGAGGGTTGGGGAGTTTCTCCCAGGCTTGGTGAAGTCAGACCAAGGGGCTTTTGTCAAAGGACGGTCAATTGCTGAAAACATAATGGTGGCGATGGGGGCACTAGAAGTGATAGGGAAAGAAAGGAGTCAAGTATTAGTCGCAATGTTGGATTTGGAGAAGGCGTATGATCGTGTGAACTGGTCATTTGTGCTGGCAACATTAGAACACATGAACTTTGGAGAATGCTTCAGGAGTTGGGTGGCAGGCATGTACAGATTCTCGACAGCAATGGTACTAAAAAATGGGCAGAGGTCTCAAGAGTTCGCGTTGACCCGGTCGCTGCGTCAAGGGTGCCCTTTGGGCCCACTTTTATTTGTTCTACAGATAGAGGTGGTCCTTAACACAGCAAGGGCAAACAGAATCATGAAAGGATTAGAACTGAGAGAGTGAGTGGAGGTGAAGATCGGGGCAATAGCGGACGACCTCCTACTTATCACAAAAGCTACCAGAGAATCCATGGACGCGGCGAAAGGTATTCTCGATCAGTACACAGAGCTTTCGGAAGACAAAATTAACTGGGATAAATTCGTGTACTTTCTTCCAGAAGAGTTCGAAATTGATGAAGATTGGTCCATGAAACGT